TTTCCCAAACGGTTTGAGAAGGTTCTTTAATTTCTGGTTCCCAGAGCCATGCACCTGGGGCTGCTGTATAGGATTTTTACAATGTGCAAGTCTGTCTGGAGCTCACCTTAGACAACCCTCCGAGGTTTCATGAGTAGAGAATTAATCGGCTCGACAGCTAAGTGGTTCGAGCCACAGGGAATAAGAGCCTCGTGCGTCACGCTGCCCAGGCCGCCTGTTTTCTCCCAGGTGTGACTCAGGATACCAAACTCCTAAATGGCTTGGGCATAAGGCACGTCTGCACTAGGCACCTCCTTGGGGACCACAGTCAGCTGTGGCCTGCACCTGCCAGGTGGCTCACACGTCCACAGCAGCTGGAGCTGCAGCGACTTTGGGCTCCGGGGCTTTGCTTCTAATTTAGTCAGCTGTAGTGGACAGCTAACCTTCAGAGGCCGGAGCGAGCCGGCCTTTAAGGTGATATACACATGCTGACAATTAATTACATGGCCACTTTTACATCTGGACCAAAAGGCCTGAGTCTGGAAGTCCCGTTCTTTGGTTTTAGATATCAAATTGCATTAAGGAGAGAAAAAAACAAAGCTGGAGGCAAAATGAAGAAGAAGAGAAAAAGGAGAGGAACAAAGCATTACAGCAGCAAATGAAAGCTTGTTCAGAAGCTGCCTGGCACTGCAGAACTAAGAACACACTTCTCTTTTCAACCTTCACAGCCACGGTCACGGATAACATTTCACTGCTTGGCACAGAACCCACCATTCTACGCTGGGACAATGAGTCCTTTCTTCCCCAGTAACGACGAGCTTGTTCCTGTAATAAATGGCCACGTGGGGCCATGGAAGGAGGTTTACGGGCCTCTGGTGACTCTGGCTTTTATTAAGTGTAGGTGAGTCACCCTCTACCCTGTTCTTCTCAGCCCTTTATCCATTTGTTTCAACTACGCGATTTTCCAATGTTAAACGTCTAGAACCGCTGTAACCTGAGTGAATGAACTGTGGACCCTGCAGCAGTGGGTTGAGAATGGCTTTCTGGAGGAAACTGGCTGTTCTTGGTTCCTGTCCATTGGCTGCCATTGTACCTCAGTACCCAGGGGAGAGGGGCGAGGTGCAGGACACCCGTCCGTCCCTGACTCCTGGCCCTGGTTTCCACATCCTTGTGGGCACTTTTCCTGGGCCCCCTAGATCTTCCGAAAGGCACGTGGGAAAGTAAAGCTTACTAGGTGTGCCAGGTATGACATCAGACCTACTTACAGAACATCACTCTTTGGATTTTAATAACCCTGAGAGCAACCTGCCAGATGATAAGGTTCCTATGAATGGCTTGCTCTGTGACTCCGAGGTGAAAAAAAAAAAAAAAAAAAGAATTGAGGCATCACCGTCATCTGGCCAAACCCCAGAGCCAAGTCAGTACCTGCCCAGCTCTCCCCTATCTGCTGTATTTGCCAAGGATAAAACTATTGCAACAAAACTGGGTAGGACCAAAAAGCTATGGAGGAACTTGAAAACGAACAAGGAAACGTGCACAAACTTTTTCAGCCAGACTGATCTCAGGATAGGGCCTGCTCGGTCCAAGGCAAACTGCCAACTGAACCAGGCTCCTGGGACAAGTCGGAGTACGTGTATGGCTTCGGCAATTGCAAAAACAGCCAAGTGGAGAAGCAAACAAAACCAAAACAAAGCAAAATGAGTGTGACCGACTTTTTAAAAAGTAAAAAAGATAGCTATGTTGACTTTGGGTAAAATTAACTACATGAAATTTACATGAAAAGTAAAACTACAATCGATGAGCATTTTTTTCTTTGTATTAGGCCAAATAAGTTTTTTTCTATATGATGCAAGACTGTATTTTTAGACTTATCTTTATTCAGTTTAACAACTGCAGGATTTATTCTTAGTTTATTCTCGAAAACAACTGTAATGTCAGATGTGAGTATAGATTTTTATTTTAAGCTTTCAGTTATGTGCACTGTGACTGTCCTGGTCCATACAGACCAAGGCTGAATCTAAGATTATATGTGCTCCTGCGAATTGTTTTCATCAACCTAGAACAACAGTTGGTCCTGTCCCCAGAACAGAGACTCAGGACTCAGGACACAAGATTAATGACGGTGCAGTTTCGGCGGCTGCATTTCCCTTGGTTCTGAGCATCTGTTTTTCTGTTTTACTCCCATTAAGTGATGTGGCTGTAATACAGCACATGTGATTTTCAACTTCATAGCATTATATTCCCATTTCCCCAGAGACACCCAAACATGGGTCTGGTTTTGGAACTGAGCCGCACTGGTGGGGAGACTCACCTGGAGACAGGAAGGAAGTGAACTGGTAAAAGATCTCGGTGTCCTTCTTCTGCCCGCTGTAGCCCACGATGCTGCCCACCTCGAGCGGGAAGGTCTTCAGGAGGGCGCCCGTGGCCAGGTCGTGGAGCTGCAGCGTGTTCTTCACGTCGTGGAGGTAGCACAACACCAGAAAGTTAGCCCTGACGCAGGCTACCCATTCTGAAAAGACAAGAACAGACAAAGCCTCAGGTGGTTTTGCAAAGGCGAGGACGGCACACCAATGTCGCTGGACAGTTCTGGAGCTCCAGGGTGCTATGCAGCAGTGCGCCTGGCAAGGTGACTATACAACTGCTTTTCATCATTCACCCAGTGTCCAGCATATTCTCTTAATAGTGACTGTCACTGTGGTGTCTAGAGGAAACAAAATACTCTCCACCTTGGGCCAGGGGCTATGATTACCCAGATAATGTGTATACTACACGTAACCAGCGTACCTACTCTGTGTTCAATATCATGCTACAGGAAATATAAGAAAGAAACAACAAAAACCAAATCACAATCCATTTCCGTCGGGGTTGTTTATTCGACAAAAATGTATCAAGCCTTTGGAACATTCCAGGTCCTCTGCAAGGTGCCGGGAGAACAGGAAGATCATGATGGCACCTCTGCCCTTAAGATACAACCATGTAAAAACACAGCTAGTAATGTGCAAGCAAAGGTGAGTCACCGGCTGGCTGCAGACCCAAAAAAGTGAGAGCCTTTCAGCAAGTGCTGAATTGAGTCTCGAGCACAAGCCAGAGCTAGGAATGAGGAGAGAGAAAAGGAATGAGAATGAACCAATGAATGCACAGCAGGAAGGGAGGGAGGGAGGAAGGAGGAAGGAGGGAGGGAAGGAGCTAATAAAATAGGTGGGAGGTCTGTTTTTAAGAAGAAAAAGGTTGTCCAGTCTGGGGGTGAGTGGCGATGGTGGTCTGAAGGGGGCTTCAGTGAGCTGAGTAGGAGCGGAGTGTAGGTCAGACTCGGCAGTTACTGAGGAGCTACTGTTTGGATAAAGGGGATACAAATAGAGATGACATCCATGAAGGATACAGGACAAAGGGGTGCACAGGGATGGAGGGGAGACCAGGAAGAACACACCTGCAGAAAGCCAGTGAAATCACACCAGTGTGGATCAAGTCTGGAGATGTAAGAAAATAAATGAAATGCAAAAAACAAAAAATAAAAATAAATGAAAGGCAAGTTCCCCCCAAAAATCCCAGGGCTTGGTGATCGTGGGGAAATGGGAAGTCAGGTAGAGAGATGAGTCCTCCTCACTCCCAGGGTTGCAACGTCAGTATCGGTGTGGTCCTGCGGCAGCGCTGGGAGAGTGCAGGGGGGCGAAAAAACAGAAGGGCAGGCACAGAGCACAATCTGTTTCGTTCTGGACAAGATGAGCCCAAGGCAGTGGTCGGCAAACCGTGGCTCGCGAGCCACATGCGGCTCTTTGGCCCCTTGAGTGTGGCTCTTCCACAAAATACCACGTGCGGGCGCGCACGTACAGTGCGATTGAAACTTCGTGGCCCATGCGCAGAAGTTGGTTTTCGGCCTGGGTGAGTCTATTTTGAAGAAGTGGCGTTAGAAGAAGTGGGGGGTGTCGATCGGTCAGGCCAGGGGAGACGCGGCGCAGGCCGGGCCGCGGGATACACAGCGCGGGGGAGGCGCGCACGATTCATGCACGAGTTGAGGATGGGAGAGTTGGAAGGGGTCGATCTCAGCGAACGTACCACCTCAGTGAACGTACCTCAATCAGATTGAGGACGTTTTTAGCAAAGGCCAGCTTAGGAGTACCCTAATTAAGTTAATAACAATGTACCTACCTATATAGTTTAAGTTTAAAAAATTTGGCTCTCAAAAGAAATTTCAATCGTTGTACTGTTGATATTTGGCTCTGTTGACTAATGAGTTTGCCGACCACTGGCCTAAGGGAAGGCCAGGCTGTCCAGAGGGAGAGATGCTGTTATGAATGGACAGATGCAAGAACAGGGCTGCAGGTAACAGCTCCAACACAGGGACAAGCCTTTCTTGGGTTTCATGGGGAAGTGAATTTTAAATTTATTTTTATTATTAATACTTTTCATCTTCACCCGAGGGTTTTTTCCATTTGACTTTTAGAGAGAGTGGAAGGGGAAGGGAGAGACAGAGAGAGAGAAACATCGATGTGAGAGAGATTCATAGATTGGTTGCCCTTGTCCAGAGTTGAACCTGGACCCCTCAGTCCACCAGCGTCTGATGCTCTATCCACTGAGCCAAACCGGCTAGGGCCACATGCTCATTTTTTAAAACCCACGGAACTCGTAGTTCACGCTTGTAACATTACCAGCTATCAGCACGAGCCAGGCGTCGTCAGAGGGAGCTCCGAGGACCACCAGAGCTCCCATCCGGTTGGCTGTTACCACAGCAAACCCTTCCTTCAGGGAAGACACAAAGAACTTTCCCAGCCACAAGCCAGGTGCTTTCTCCAATGCGATTTTTTTTTTTTTTTACAAAAGTGCCTCAATCAAGTAATCTATTTCATGCAGCCTTAATGTTTTACAGAAAGTATAGAGGAAAAACAGAAGTAAATTACTTGTCAAGGAATCCTTGGTGTTAACTGCAAGCACATCAGAATTATACAACAGACAAAGCGAAGAAGAAAGGACAAGGAGATTTGCAGGCGCCATCAATAACAGCTCTGACTTTATGGCTGTGCTTTATGACTCATCTCTAGTTTTTATTCTCAACTGGGCATTCTGTGCTAATGATAGATAGCAAATTCAACTGTGCTTCCCTCGGATTGATGAGTTCTAGGGAATATTGAAGGTTTCCCCTTTCCAGTCCAAGGAACTTCTAATCTTCCAGAAGGAAGGTTATAAAAATATATCACCCCCAAGTCTCGAAGCAGCGATTTGCATTTCATTAGGTCCACAAGTGAAATAGGATGTCACCTTAAGGCACAGCCAAGCCACTTTTAGGGGGGCTTTAAAAGGCAGAAAAGTCACATGCTTTGGGAAACAGTTAGGTCTCTGAGAGCTCCCCATTGAAGAATCACGGATCCAACCTGCCCTGCGTCTGAAAACCACCCGGACACCCTGCAGGAAGGCTGGTGCTACCGAAGTCTCACTTGGACCTGCCAACATGAGGCCAGTTCACGTGGCACTTAAGAGGCACTAAATGCCCGGCTCTTCCCACCCTTAGGGGGCACATTCTGTCTCAATTTGCACAGAAGCCACCAGGCAACCAGAATCACTACGCACCCAGTTCCTCACAGGAAGTTGTTGAAGGAAATGGCCAAAAACCTGTTTCTTGACCCCTCATCCAAATATAAATGAGGGCACGGAGTGAATGGAAGGTTCTGGAGAGACAAGCAAAGGGATTTCCTTGGAGAAAGCCCAGTCATGCTGTAAGCCCCCCTCCCCACTGGGGAGACAGCACTGGTGTCCAATCCAACGCGAGAGGCTAAAGGGATAGGGACTGGGACAGCTGGAAGGCAGGAGAAGGGGGACTGAGTACTTCAGGGAGAGCTCGGATGGGCTGCTGCCTTGGAGGTGCAGATGTGGGTTTTGTAAGAAAGAGCAAGCATGAGGTCCTCTCGGGTCCTGGCCAACACACCTGCCTGCAGGGCTGTGGAGACCTCAGTACCGAAGAGAGTGAGGGGTGCAGCCAGATGCCCAGGGGCTGGGCAGAATCTTGAGCAAAGACCTAGAGCAGTGCTTCCTCCTGGGCCAAGGTACATGCAGAAGAAGGGCCCAGAGGGAGTGCCCCTGGGCCGCAATCCCTGAGACACTCAACGTAACCATCTGACCACCTTTTCCTCTCCCCACGACACAAGGCCAGATTCAAGTGCCTGCCAGGCGCAGAGCGCACGGCCTTGAGCCAGGAGGGAGAATCCCTCATTTTCTCAGGACTGTTCAGCTGAGACAGGGACACTATGCAGATATCGAAAGGATTTATTTTCCTAATTATATACCTTACACCTTCCCATTTTGGGGTGGCCCTCGCTTTTATCCCCATTGAACCCATTAGCAGAAGTTCACCGCCAACCAGTAAATTCTTCATTAACTTGAAGATAACTGGACTCTTCCTTTGTGTAAAAAAACTTATAGCAAAATTAGTGAGTCTCATTCTAATCAAATCCAGCTTTCAGGCAATAAACCATTTATAACACAGCATACCATTTTGGGAACATCACAGAGAAAATGAACGAGGGAACTTAAGGATGGAAACAGGATGGAAACAGAGGTGAGATTCCTGAAAGGCTAATGGAGCTCAGGGCACACAGCAGCAACTGCACTGGATTTCAATTCAATCTGAAAACAGTTTACTCCTTTTCTAATAAGAGGACTGAAAACCACCCTACAATCTCTAACAGGTATAATACAAACAGCCAAAGATTATTCAAAAGCGAAAAGCTACGGCTTTTGAATCTAAATTGTTTAAAAATTAAACTTAAGTGATTATTATACTAGAGGCCTGGTGCACAAATTCGTGCATGGGTGGGGTCCCTCGGCCTAGCAAGTGATCGGGGCCTTGGGCCGTCTCATCCAGTCCCGATACTGATCAGGGCTGGTGGGGGCCGGCTGGCCGGGGAGGGCGTGGGAGGGCTCCGGGGTGTGTCCAGCCCTATCACCCAGTCCCGATTCGCTGGACCCCAGCAGCAAGCTAAACTACCAGTCAGACGTCTGCCCCCTGGTCGTCAGTGCAGTCATACCGACTGGTTGGACACAGCATATTACGCTTTTATTATATAGGATTATTACACAAAGACAACTAATATTTTTTTAAAAGGCACCACCTAGAAAGTCTGGATTCATATCTTCACAATGATTAGGATGGCCCTGCATAATATTGTAGTCACCACAAAGACGTCCTGCAGTGCAAACCTGGTGGTACTGTTCAGACACTTCATGCCCAGAGCTCAGAGGCTGAAGGTTCTTTACCTTGTAGTGGGCCACCAGAGGACGAGAGGCGGACCAATCTGCTGACGTGCTCACCCAACACGAAAGCACCGCTCTCAAGCAGCATGCAGTCTTACCCAAGACATCCTTCTCGTGCTCAGGAACCAGCACCTTCCACTTCGACTCCTCGGGATCCGTGAAGTCGATGTTGATGAGGCGATAGTTGGGAGAATGGCGATTGGTCTTGAACGTGAACACTGTCCCCTCGTTCGTCACGTAGTCATATTCTCCTTCAAAGTTGTCGATCAGTTTCACCCACTTCAAGATTCCTGGTGAGAGACCAAGCATCCTGTCACCTCTCCAGTGCTTAATAGGGTGTGGTTTGTGCATGGGGAAGAGAGGGCTGATCTTATCTGTCTAGAGAAAAAGTAGACACAATATTTGGAAGATCTAAGGTCTGAGAAAGAGTGAGGACAATGGGCACATTTTAAGGTTTTAAAACATGTGAAGGAATTCCATCCCCCCACCCCCTCCGAAAAGCCTGGTAGATGTGAACGTTGCCCCACGGAAACTGGGGGATCCTCCTCCACCTGAACCTGTTCCCAAACTGGAGCACTTCTCTCTACCTCTACTGCCCTCACACCGGCCAAGTCTTCACCAATTCCCGCTGGGGCTACGTCAGGGGCTCTAAACCGGGGTCATTCCACCACCGTGCGGGACATTCAGAAATGTGTGCAGGCGTGGTTGTCACAACTTGGAAGGGGAGAGGAGGGCTCCTATTAGAGTCCAGTGGGTGAAGGCCAGAGATACCGCTAAAGGTGCTTGGCTCACAGGACAGTCGCTACGACAAAGAATTAGGCTGCTCAGGTCTGCAGATTAGCTTCCTGCCTGACCTTCCCACAGCCACTCCAAACCTTCTCAATATTAGCGGCTGTAATATTAGCACAATGTTGGAATATCCTGAACTGGTCCATGTTGGTGCCTTTCTTAAAAACGTCCCCATTACTCTTTGAATAAAATCGAATTCCTATTTATGGTCTCCCTGGTCTCGCATGTCACAGTCCTTGCCCACTTAGCCAACCTCAGCTGGTTCCAACTTTCGCTGCACCTCTGTCCTTCGAGCCTTTGCTAGGCTCCTTCACACATGCCTCAAGGTATTGTTACAGGGCATTTCCTCGGCCTGGCTCACTCTCCAATGGCCAGGCCCCTCTTATCGGTACCCAGACCATTTCTTCACGGCACTTCTCTCAAGATATGTACCTATCTGCTTGTTTATAATTTGTCTTTTCTATTCAGAAGTTAATACTTAGCACCTAAAGGAAGTGGCAGGTACTTCAAAGATGCAAAATAAAATTGGTCCTGAATGAAAGAAGGAACACTTCCCAGTCCCTTAGTGCTAAGAATTTGTCTAGAGATGGACATCACTAAAAAAATCTTAAATGTGGCTCACTATTATCATTTAAATGGCTCACTAGATGCCACTTTTAATGTTAAATACCTGCTTCACAATGTATCAGTCAGGGATGTTCAGAGTACATCTCACAAGTTTTATAAACAAAGAGTTCTATGACTTCTAAACTTCTGGAAGGCAATGCCAGATCTCAGCTATTCTCCAATTAATCTCCTGGCTTCAATTTCACAGTGAAATTACTACATTAATTTGGATAGTTCATTTATAGTCCCTGAATCTTTCAAGGCAGTTTTACATTTATTATCTCATTCATCTTTAGAGCACAATAACTTTATATAATTGATTGTCAAATTAAACTCATCAAGAAAAATATCCCATGATAAAAACAGAGTGAGTTTTTTGGTCAGACAAAACTGGATTAAAACTGCAGCTCAACAATATTTAGTTGTGTGACCTTGAGCAATCTCTTTATCCCTTGATAAGCCTAGTTTTCTCAACTGTAAACTAGCACTAGCAAAAAGATTTTTAAAATATTAAAGTGACTTAGAAAACTATGATACATCTATACGATGGAATACTACGCTGCTATAAAAAAGAAGGAATTCTTACCATTTGCAATAGCATAGATGGAACTGGAGAGCATTATGCTAAGTGAAATAAGCCAGTCAGAGAAAGATAAATATCACATGGTCTCACTCATTTGTGGAATATGAGGAACTAAAATAGAACCAGTCATAAAAGCATAGAACAGACTGTCCAAGCTATGAGGGAAGGTGGGGGGTGAAAGGGGTAAGAGATCAACCAAAGGGCTTGTATGCATGCATATGAGCAAAACCAATGGACACAGATGGGGGGTGGTGGTGAGGGCACGGGGGGGAGGGGAGAGGTCAATGGGGGGAAAAGGAGATATATGTAATACTTTAAACAATAAAGAATTTAAATTAATAAAAAAATATTAAAGTGACTACTAATACCTACCTACTCCACAACAAAACCTCAACAAATATTTTTAAATCAATAATTGAAATGAAAACTAATAATAAGATAAGCAGTTTTTAAAAACCTATCACTTTCCTACACGCTAGCAATAACCAGTTAGAAAAAAATGGGAGGACTGGGAGAAGAGTTCATTTACAAAAGAAGCACAATTAATAAAATGTTTAGGAATGCACTTAACAGGAAATGTGGAATCTATATGAAGAAAGCTCTAAACTTTTTCTAAGGAATCTTAAAAATAACAATAGAACATACAAATCCTAAATAACTGAAAACACACACCATATCCCTAGATGGGAAGACTCACTATTTCAAAGGTGCAAATAATCCTAGAGAAAATTTGCCAATTTAACACAATTCCAATCAAAATCCCAATGAGATTTTTAATGAACCTGACAATATCATTCTAAAGTCCAGCTGGAAGAATCGGCACAGAAGGATAATAAATATGCTTTTGATAACAGAATGAGGAGGAACTTTTTGTGCTACGATGCTCTGAACAAGCCCCCGGCCCTCCTGAAGGCAATCACCATCCTGAATGCTATGGTAATCCTATTTTTCTTCGTTCTTTTTCTGCCTTAATGTGTATCCTTAAACACAATCTTACTTATTTTTGAACTTCATATATAATGAAACATACAACATGTATTCTTTTGTATCCGACTTCTTTCACTTGACATCATGTTTATGAGATTTTTCACCCTCTGGTCATTGTTATTGACTTTTAGCTAAATCCAATTGTGCTCAAAGAACATGCTCTGTCTGGTTTTAATCATTTAAAATTAGTTCAGAAAAGCTTTATGGCCTATTTTTTTTTTCTTAAATGTCTTTTAACTGCTCCTGTATGTGACTAAAAAGAATGTGTATTTTGCAGTCTTTGGGTGTGATATGTTAAATGTCTATTAAGTCATTTGTTAATCATTGTTCAAATCTATATATTTACTGATTTAGGGGGCCACTTTTTTTTCTATCAGCTCCAGAAAAGAGCTATTAAAATGCTTCTCTATGATTGTAGATTTATCTATTTTTACCTGGATTTGTATTAATTTTTGCTCTCTGTATTTTGAAATCATGATTTTATATATACACATAGATATTTAAATAAAACTGAATTGAATCTTTTATAATTATGAAGTTTTATTTCCTTTGTAATGCTTTCTTACTTTAAAGCCTATTTTGATACTAAGACAGCCATATCATTTTCATGATAACAACTTGGGCCAGTTGTCCTCTGCAGAATGGTTGGTCCCAATTATGTGGCTTATCATTTCTAAAAAGATTTGCTCTTTTCCATATCTCTTAACCACTCACATGCTTTCCACCTCCTGGTGGGCTATATTCTAGTTGATTTCTTTATACTTATATTCTACTTTGTTAGTTCTCTCTTCAGCTGTGTCTAATCTTGCCTTTAATGTAATAACTGAATTTTTTTAATGGTAATAATCATAGCTTTATTTGCAGAAGCTCTACTTAGTCCTCTTCCAAATCTGTTTGGTCATTTTTTATTTATTTATATTTTTTACAGTATCTTGTTTCTTGCTTTGCCATCAAGCTTCTCGTTTATTTTTTGTAAAAGCAAAACATTAATTGTTTATTTTAAAAGTGTATGTACTAGTTTTACATTAGGAATCTGATTAATTCCATACTGGTGTTTCTGCTGGCTCTACTTCTCACGCTGGTAAATTTCTTCATTGCCTTTGTGATTTCTGACTGTGAACTGACTCCCCTTGAAACATTATCTGTGGGAATTCTGACAAGCCTCAGTAGAAGTGGCACTCTTCCAGAGAAGATTTGCATTTGCCTTCTGTTTGCCTCTTGGGAGGCAACCAAACTGGGAGCACTTTAAATTAAACGCTTGGTATGAGGATTTCTGGACCTCATAGGGCCAATCAAGACAACCTGCACACAGGTGAAGGTCAGCCTTTCTCAAGTTTTAGGAGAATTGACATCCTGCCTACCCCTCCCCTTCAGCAGTGACAAGGTAAAGATGGGCAGGTTTCCTTCTTACGCCCTTCCTCCGCCTCACCCCCCAACCTTACCTCTGAATTGACATCCTGCCTACCCCTCCCCTTCAGCAGTGAGTGACAAGGTAAAGATGGGCAGGTTTCCTTCTTATGCCCTCCTTCCGCCTCACCCCCCAACCCTACCTCTGCTAGGTTTATTTCTCAATCATCCTGACACTGAGGGTATCTCTCATTACGCTCTCTACCGTGGAGACCCAGAGCTTTGTCACCCATCCCCCTGGCCCAGGTGGCCAGCAGAGGGAAGCTCAGCCTCAGGGCCCAGCAGACACGTTCAGGAGCAATCCAGGATTCCTGCTTTCACTTTGCCTTTGGTTCTGTGGGTTCTCTTCTTCTGTGCCAACTCAGCAATAGTTAGAAGAGTGCTTTATAAAGTTACAGCATCTTAGTTGCTTCAATTAAGCAGCTATTCAGAATATATAATCTGACAAACTCCCTCAAACAGAAGTCCATACAATTAATTTTCATAAAAGGTTAAGCTCTGCAATTCAAATTAGAATTTTATTTTCAAACCGCTAGCCTCAAAAACAGGTGACCACTCAATGGTAACCAACTTGTATCTTAGTTTACATAAAATATGTTTTTTTAAAAAAACAACACACACAACAACCCTAAAAACTATTCCTTAGAAGAATAAGTAAAAAATTAGCTGCCAATGCAAAATTTGTATATAAACAGAAAGGTACATTTATCTATAATAATAAAAGTGTGATGGAATAAGTAAAAAATTAGCTGCCAATGCAAAATTTGTAGATAAACAGAAAGGTATGTTTATCTATAATAATAAAAGTGTGATATGCTAATTAGACCTTCCGATGAAGCCGGGACTGCAAGGGAAGCCCGGGTTCCAGGTGCCTGCCAGCGGCCGGAGGGAAGCCGGTGCAGGCAGCCGGGGGAAGGAACACCTACTCTTGCACAAATTTCGTGCATCGGGCCTCTAGTTTATAATAAGAATCTTAAAACGTAATTTTCTGGACTATGACTTTTACAGAGACAGAATCTTGATTCAGGGAAATGTCAGATTCCTTAAGTGTTCCCCTGACAATAAAACACTTTGTAATGTAAAACCTTTAGTCCTCAAAGTAACCATCTTAGGATTTCTTCTTGAAAAGGTCTTGTAGCCACTGCAGTGGTATTTCTTATGACCCTACCCACCTCTGCAAAAAGTCACTGAAATATCCACCCAAAGCGAAACACAGTAGCAACCTCCCCCAGGACCTGTTTAATCAGCTGAGCCTGAAAATTCGGCACACGCTTTAAATAATCAAGCTCCACTGAACACACACACAAAATCAAAGTTTGTGGTCTTATCTGCCACCAAAGTTCTGAAGCATTAACCTTAGTCATAAATAGATACTGTAAGTCATAAATTTATTCAGATTAGGGAAAGTGGCTGGATTTATACAAATCCAGCTGTAAATTTGAAAAGCAGTGGAAAGTACAGGCCTCACAAGGCAGCATGTTTAAGACGGGAGCTCACTAAATCCTTTTGCTTTTCTGAAACCTTTGCTCCTCAAGGGCTTTGGACCTGACACAATTCTAAAGAAATGGCATTTTGGATGAAGAATGGGGCTCATTCAGTTTTGCTATGCATAACTTAGAGCATTATTGATTTAAATGAAAAACAGAAAAATTACTTTTAAAAATAGACTGGCTAACCATCTCACTGTCTGCTCACCTTTTCTGAGGCTCCTCTGCCTGTGAGTGGCATTCTTCACTCTGAGCCAACAGAATTCAATTCCTAAACTTCTCTACATCCAAGTTAAATCACTTTTTATAAACCTGCTTCTGGGTGGGGGAATGATTTGTTGACTGAGTGAAGATTAGCTTAAAGTAAGCCATCTCCATGCTTTCCTGAGAGCGAACTCATTACTTTTATTGCTTTCTCTGAAAATCAATGGTATTAACTACGTTTCAAAAAAAAAATGTTTTGCAGGCTCTCTAAGAACAGGAGCTAAGAAGTGTTTTTATACTTTACAAAGCACCTGACATGTAACAATGATAAACCAATGCCAACTGTGGGTCCTGCTCTGAATGGAGGGGACCAGAAGGCTGCGGCTCTCCTGGTCTGATGCCTTCCTTCCACCTCACCTGCCACATAATTATGGTTAGAACATGGGCTGGGAGTTCAACTGACATAGGTCTGAATCTTTAAATGGCATCAGGAAAGCGAACTGGCTTCACCAACCTGTTTCCTAGGATAACACCACGTGCTCCTCAGAGGTTGCTGAGAAGACAAAGAAATAACTACATTTGTAGCTCAGAATCTGGCACAGATAAATGCTAAATAAACAACACTTTCTACTATGCCAAATAATCTGTGTTCTTCAAATGACAAAAATAAGCTAAATGTGGCTACTGAACAGCATGATTTGCTAATAGTGAACTTTTAAAGTTTAATTTTCATCTCTCATGGCACACAGCTATTTTCCTAGAAAAAGCCCTTCTAATCCCTAATTTTAAAATTAGCAAAAATACTGACTTTATCATTATTATTTATTTTACTTCAAAGTTCATATTTTTATACTACCTCTTGATGTTCCTATTCTTTTTTTTCCTTTGGCATACCCACTCTGACAGACACACACACACACACACAGTTTTCTAATAACCCCTGCCCATCACAGGAGTCCTCTTCCTCTGTTGGTCTGGCTTTTAATGCTCAGATGACTTGGTTAAACTTTGGATAAATCATTTAAAGGTTCTTGAACGTTTTTCTCTCCATTTCCACTGTAACCCCCAAAGATGCCCAGTCCTGCCAGGCCTGAACCATGGGTCAATGTTATCTCAGTTTTCTAAAAACAAGAGATCATCTGCTTTGCACTAGCCAGAGATGGCTGTTTGTACAATGTAGGTGTCTGACAAATACCGAGCTTCCTTTTATCTTCATGGGTAGATTAATTTCTTATGCGGGAGAAGACAATTTTCATTAATGACATGAAAGCTTTAAAATAAAGACATGGGGAGCACTGAAAATTTCATCAATCTAAAATGATCAAACCTTCAGCATAAAAGGACAAAGGAGAGAGACAAGTTAATGAAAGTCTAGACAAAGTACACAGTAAGCAGATATTCGCTTACAAAAATCAAATATGTTAGCACCATCCAACTTTTCCACCAAACACTTCATAAATGCTGTGACACGAAAACCACTCAGGCTTGCTTTTTTTAAGAAACTGATTTTAGAGAGAGGAAAGGAGAGAGCGAAAAACATCGATAGGTTGCCTCCCGTATGTGCCCCAACCAGGGATTGAACCTACAACCTTTCGGTGTATGGGACAATGCTCCAACCAACTGAGCCACCTGGCCAGGGCCAATTAGTTTTTTAATTAGTTAACTTATATTGTTTAACAATAAGCCCACCTAATAATTTAAATATATAAAAATGAAGTAATAAATAAAAAATGAAACCAGAATTCTATGGAGAAAGAACACGGTAATTGGCATTCATAAAGAACTGGAGAAAGCAAAGTCCTATGCACTATTTTACAGTCACATGGGAATATTGTACAGGACAACAGCACAGTTTAACAGCTGTTATCGTTTCTTTCAGATTCTATATTCAGAGGTTTGCACAGTTCTATGTACACCTGCACTTGCAACTCAAATGAACAATTCTTAGGTGGCGGCCTGCTCCTGTCAGAGAATGTGCAACTGCTGTGGTTGAGCCAATTTTCTTGAGATCAAAATGGATATATCTTTTTTTAAAAAAAAAACCAACAACCACAAACCCGTAGTTTTATTAAATGGAAGTATATTTAACACTAGCATAAAAGTTGTTGACTTCATCCTGCTGTATGTGTGCATGGCATCTGTGATATCTAAGAATCTTAGGATGCGAATCTTACTTTAGAAGTTTAAAAATGATGCAATGACCAATCAATAATAAAAAATTTATATTATCTTACTAATATAACACACAATATAGACCAATAATGAGGTAATCAAATAACTAAAAGTGCACTCAATATATTGTACAGTTTGAAAATCTAGGTCACCATCTCTAAAATATACTTATTTTACATTAACCAGAACATGGTATAATTAGTATGGGGTCTTACCTGTGTGCCAGCATACCTGATACAATTTCTGGGTCTGGGAACTTTCAGCACAGTACGTCATGCAGTTGGAAAGCTTTAATGCTTGACAGTGGTATTGGTATGATTTAGATGTCGGAAGAGAATATTTAAAATGAGCCACCTCCAGAATTTGTGACTGGCTGGTTTCATGCTTACCATCATGACATACGAAGCTTCAGGCAGGAAAATCAGGCTGTGATTGTGCATGTGGCTCAGTACTGAGGAGCTGTCCGATGTTACCCTGGTTAATTCTCACTGGTCCCCTCTCTTGCCTATGTCGGTTTGCCGCATTATGTCTAGACAGTTATACTGTTTTACAGACCAAAGGGCCAGCTTCTCCTTAATCCTCTTCATCTGCAGTATTCGCAGGATATTTTCACACTCATATGCAAAAAATATGGTTAACCTCAATCTACCGAGAAAATGCTGAAGCCAACAAATACGTTCATTCAGTTTTTCTTCATTTTATGGGATAATATGGGGGAGGGGGGAACAGATGAACTAAGACAATGTGATTAAACGGAAGATGGTTTCTTAGAAAATCAATTAGAAGACAAAATAACTGCTTTTAAAAGGCATTCTGGAGTAATTACTAGTACCTGTGCGTGAGAGATAACTTACCAGTGATGCCATTGGATTCCTGCTGCAGGTCACAGTACCAGAGCCGGTTCACTGGGTCACACCCCTCCCTTATTGATAACAAGACATAGCGACCATCGTCAGACAACTGGGAAGACAATAAAAGCAATGCAGGAGGCTGATTAGAATGTATTTTCTGTGGGAGTACTATTAAATATTAAGCAAAAACTAAAGGTTAAACTCAAATGCAATAAATTTATCCCAAACTTATGAATGGATAAGAAAGTTAACAGAAAAAAAAGATGAACATCCATTTTAACTTATTTCACTCCTAATCAATGTTTAACAAAACATAGTGAAATATTTAGGTAGAAAATATCAATAGATGTAACTGAATGTCCTAATGACTTAATGTGATTTTTAATTAAATCCAGTCTATTCTTTAACTGAAAATATATGCAATCTGTCATTTTGAATATTAATATCCCTGACTTTGAAGTTTCGTCACAGGTTACGTATTTTAAAAGTTGTTCTAAATGAGTAGAAGTTACCAAGATAGGCATGGATGTAAAGAAGTTCATGTGTGGTTCATATTGGTCACATTAACACTTTCTGTTGACCAACTCTTCATGCATATCTTTAGCCCCCTCCACACAAGATGTCAGAGAACAAAGGCCCATGCTTCTGTGGGTTTCTTTTATAATTAAACAGGAGAATCTTAAATAACAAAAATAATCTTGGTAAAAAACTAATGCAACCAACATTAAGGTTTTGAGATGTTAAAATGTAAGTGGTATCAAACTATATATATCCTTTTGTAACTACTTTTTAAAATTCAACATAATTAAAAAAATAATCCATGTTGATATATGTACATTTACTTCATTTAACTGTTGTATAGTATTCCAATTTAAGATATACCACAGCTAATTGATCCATTTTCCCACCGATAAACATTTAGATTATTTCATTTTTCTTCCTATTACAAGCAACACTTTACAAAAATTCTTGAACATGTTTATTTGTGGCCTTATGTAAGTGTTTCCCTTATATAAGTATGGCCTTTTATAAGTGTTTCTATATAACTAGGAGTAAAATTGCTCAGTGGTAGGACATGGACAAACTCCACTTTATTAGATATTGCCAAATTAAGTGATTACCAACTCACTCTCTTACATTTTATCCGTGTGTAACAGTTCTTATTTCTCCACATCCTATTGTGATAGTTAATTTAATGTGTCAACTTGACAAGGACAGAGCACCTAGATATTTGGTCAAACATTATTCTGCATGTTTCTGTGAAGGTATTTTTTGGATGAGATTTACATTTAAATGGATGGACTTTGAGAAAGGTGATTACCCTCCATAATGTGAGTGAATCTATCCAACCAGTCCAAGGCCTTAATAGAAAGACTGCCCTGCAAAGGTAGGAAGGAATCCTGCCAGTAAATTGTCTCTGATGGACAATCTTCCCTGGGTTTCCAGCCTGCCAGCCTTCCCTGCAGACTTTGGACCAGTCAAGCCTCCCCAATCACATTAGCCAATTTCTAAAAAAAATAAGTATTTCTCTCTATACATATACGCAGGTCCTGTTGGTTCCGTTTCTCTAGAGAACCCTACCACACTTACAACTGTCATTTGTTCATTCAATAAAAATTTCCTAAGCAGCTATTACGTTCAAGTCATTTTCTAGGGGGCAAAGATATATCGGTGAACAAACCAAGAAGAAAAAAATGTTCTAGTTTAGGGGAGGAGACAAACACATACATATAGAATTATGTATCATATTATACAATGAGAGGTGTGGCATGGAGAACATGAACAATCTCGGTAAGGGAGGCAGAGTGTGGGGGGAAGGGACTATAGTTTTCAGTGTGGCCGTCAAGGTAGGCCTATTTAGAAGGTGTCTTGTCCTGACCAGGGATCAAACCCGCAACCTTTTGGTGTACAGGATGACGCTCCAACCAACTGCGCTACCTGGCCGAGGCCCCATTTCTTTCTTTCTTTTTTTTTAAATTAATTTTCCATAAAATAGTTTTATATCACATTTGTTCAAATGCATTTCTCTACAACTACTCCAACATAGCTCCTTTGGAATTATTTCATAACATGTGACTTTATCAAAGACTTTGAATCTCAAACATAAAATTTCAAAATATTAATTTTTAGATGAAAGGAACAAGAAATAAAAGTCATTGGTGATGGTTGGGGCTGTTAATTTCCAATAAGACACTGTGTTGAAATGTTTCTTCTGATACAGCAGTTACAAACTAGAACCTTCAAAAAACAAGGGCAGAACCAAAGTATAATGAAAGAAGCTTCTGCAGTGTACGCCTCCCACAGTCCTCAGCCTCTGACAGAAGCAAGGCACAGCATCTTCCCTGAAAATTAAGTGGGTTTCCAGTATTTTCATGCAGTTGACTAGACACTCAAGACTTTATCATTAATGTATATTCCATCTTGGCTCTGGGTGCATTAGTTATGCCTGAAGAGCTTAATACCCAGCCACATCCGCAGGTGGGAGAACACATACACTGGTATGGTGATGGGCAAGAGCAGATGTAAAAGCCCAGACTGGCTGTGCTGGTGCAGCCCTGTGGGGAGTTCTCTTCCACGGAGGACGAGCAGAACAGTCCTGCTAAGGAGATCAATGGAATGAGGATGGTCAACGTAGGAAGAGACAGAAACATTCTCCTCTCCCACTTATTACCTGCCACCCTGACTTTTTAAAAGGTAGATGGTATTAAGAAAGTTTGGTTGTATCTGTTGTTTTTAATTATGATCTAGTGCTGCTCCATATCTTCTTGCTTCTTATTTTGATGTGTCATCATCCTAGCTGCCTGTAGTATCATATTAGGGATCCCATCAATAATTGGATAGGCTATTCCCAACCGGGGCCCCATTTCTCTATCTTTAAACACAACTACGTAAGCTGAAAAGCCCAGATTGGATCTAATTCCAAATTTTGTCTCCTTTATTCTTTGTCCAGCTGCCTTCTAAGCCAATTTGCATATTTCTAAGGGCACCTATCCTCAGCAAAAGAATTAACACCAGTCCCAGTCCCTTCTGTGGGTTTTTAACTCAGAAGACCAGAGTATAAAACTAAGGGCTGTTTAATCAGCACAGGATTAGGGCTGAAGTAATAAATTGCCCCTCTCTGCTCTAGGGATTATTTTACCTAGGAAAGATCATCATCTCTCTATAAACACAACACACCTTTTATGACTCTGTAAGCAGGATACATTCCTGCTAACCTTTCTAAATTCTATGTTAAAAATAATTTAAAATGCATTTGCTATGTTTGTACATGGAACATTTCTAGAAGATCTCCACGAAACAGGCAGCAGTGGAGGGCAGGTGGAAGGGAGATTTAAAAAAAAGTATCTTTCCATTGTCTTCTGACTTGCACTGACTTGCATTTCTTATCTTTTCCCCCCTGTAGGTAATGTATTCTCTTCTCTGGCTGCTTTTAAGATCTTCTTATCAGTGTTGGTTTTCTGCAGATTGATTATAAAGGGCTTTGCGACAGTAGCCTGCTTGAGATTTGTTGAGCGTCTTGAATCTGTGGGTATGTCTATCAAATTCATAACATTTTTGACCACTTTTCCCTTATACGGGTGAGGAACAAGTAGTTTTACACTTGTGAGTACACAAAACACAGAGTTTATCATTGTATTATTATTTATTAATGTGTTATTTTCCATATGCACAACCATAAATCTACTTCCCCCCACCCTTTATATTTTTGTGTCCCCTTATCCCTAAAATGCCAACTACATACCGTTGAATCAGCTATCTGATAGGTCAATGAGACTGTATTCTTTTTTGTTTCAATTTATTTTCTCTTTGTGGTTTAGTTTCAATTGTTCCATCTCCAAATTCCCTGCTATTTTCTTTAACAGTATCTAAACTACTGTTAAGCCCATGTAGGGAACTTAAAAATTCAGAGTTTATTTTTCACCTTTAGAAGAACATTTGGGTTGTTTTTATATTTTCTTCTTCTTTGTTATAATATTGTTTTCTAAAATCCTTTTAAAATCATTTTTTTATAATGGCTTTTAAAAAGTCCTCGTCTGCTAATTCTACTACCTGTCATTTCTGGATCTATTATATTGACTAATTGTTCTCCTGGTTATGTCACATTTTTTCTGCTTCTTTACACATAGTAATATTTTTTATGGGTTCTGAATATTTTGAATGTTGTCTGGATTTTGTTTTCTTCCTTTAAAAGTTCTGAGGCAGATAATTTGTTGGTAAATCAGCTTGTTCCATTCAAGGCTTGTTTTCAAGCTTCGTTGGTAAGGTCTACAGCCCTACTGCTGAGGCATGGCCTCTCCGGGGTCTCCACTGAATACCCTGGGTGCTCACAAGGTCTTTCCACTTTGTCAGAATGCGAGTCTCCCAGCTGTGTTAGACCTCTGGTAGTGGCTGGCTTCACAGCTTCTGGATAGTTGTCCTTGGCTCAAATCATGGAGTCTCCTCCTGTGCATGAACCCCTTAACCGTCAGCTAAAGACGCAAGGGGATACCAAGGCAGATTTCTTAGTGGGCAGTTTCCTTCTTTTGGTTCCCTGCCTGCAAATTCAGTGGCTCCCGTTTTCCTGGATCCTAAGTTCAGCGAGACTGCTGTACTTCAGGGCTCCTCCTCTTTGAGTCCAGAAAATACTTCCAGGCAGAGAGCTGGACAAGCACAGGACTGGTCACTTTCACAGATGAAAGTCTTGTGACGCCTGCTGACCAATATCTGCAAACAGTTGCTTTGCCTATTTCGTACGGTTTTCTGTTTATGGCAAGAGGGCTAGTCCAGTACCAGTTACACTGTCATGGCCAGAAGCAAAAAATCTGTCATTATGTTTTTAAACCATTTTAATTTGTTATTGGATAATTACATTTTGGGGGATACATTATTGCATATAATTGTAAGAGTTAATCATACAATTAATATAGGACTAATTAAAAAGATAATACCCATGATTAATAAAAAATACATAACAATGATATATTTGCTTCTGTCTCATTACATAGTAGGATAGTTACACTATTTCTGTTTCCTATTCCAATAATAGTTCTATGAACTGCAGTCTGTGGGACATGCTTCTTTTATGTGGAGGTAGAATTTTCAAATGTAACATTCACTTTGACTTGTTGC